TGGGGCCGGCCCGGCTGCCGGTGAATACGCCGGAAGCGGCTGAGGTCCGGCGCAGCTGCGGCCGCTCGCCGCCTCCCGAGGCCAAGTCCCTCCTGATCGAGTCCTCCGTGAGGTGACGGGCCCGCTGACTACGTCCTCGGACGTGAGAACGGTCACATCCTCTGTCGGCGGTCGGGTCTGGTAACAGATATTTCGTCTCGGATCCTCCGATGAGGTGAGCCGGCCCACCTGACTGCGTCCTCGGACGTGAGAACGGTCACCTCCTCTGTCGCGGTCGGGTCTGGTAACAGATATCTCGTCTCGGATTGGATCGGATCGGAGGATTGGTATCGAGTCATCATAGGAGGTGACCTGATCGGGTTTTCGGATACGTCGAATTGGGTCCAGCGAGCCCAAGAGGTCCCTCAGATAAACAAAATGATGGCATGTGCAGGAGGCCGGCAATTCTAGAGAAGTCATTCCAATGGAGTCATCGGTTTAGGTTCGTTTGGGTATGTAAGGGAAAACCTTCCTGATACGATCCCGGATGAGGTGAACCGACCTCAGGGCATTCGGGCAGTTCGTACTGACTGGGCCCGCGAGTGAGGGGGCTGGTCGTAGTGAAAGCGTACTCCTGACGGACCTCACATGGGGCAAGCTAGCCCCAGGGATTTCGAGGAAGTGCCTCCTGATCTATTCCCCATGTTATCCAGTGAAGAACCTCCTGATACAAATTGGATAAGATGAGCCGGTCTTAGCTGATTCGGAGTCCCTCCTGGCTGAGTTCTAGAACGAAATGGGCCGACTGATAACGGCGACCCGAGAGCGTGACACGGCCTACTGTATGGCCCACGCGATCTGGAAGTAATCACCTACGGAGAGCGACTGGAACAATACAGGCGTCTCAGACACAAGGCTCAGCGCCTCTTAGCTAGGTGCAGTGGCCAACTTCGATGTCGGCAAAGGCCCACGGACAAGACGGCCCTGTGTCTCTGCGTCAAATCTATGCTTCGGCCGGCAAAACCGACAGATGCCGAATCACAATCTCATGACGGGGCCGATTATTTTAATCGTCAGCTGGTGTCTGTCGGTCCACTGGTGTCTGTTTAATCGTCCGCTGGTGTCTGGTGTCTGTCTGCAACGCCACTGAGCCAGCGCCTGAGGGGCCCACGTATTTCATCACCTGGACCACTATGCGTTACAGCGAACGGCGTGAGGCTATCACATTCCATGAGGTCTCTGCCATCATCAGTGGCGTGTCTCCTTCTAGAGAGGCGGTGTTTGAAGATGTATCTCTACATGCAGAGCGTTAAATTTTTGTTGGTTATTGGCCGTTTGTTTTTCATCTTGGCAACTCATATGCTGTAGCATGTCTCCTTCCGTCTTCTCGGAAAGTGGCATCTGCGTTTCTCTCTTCACAAATCTGGTGCACGTGATACAGGTCGCAATTTTAGACCTATCCTCATTTTACCGGGGTGATCACAAATATGTGAAAAGGTTGTCTTCACGCGGTTGTCGTCCTATCTCGTTACCAACCTTTTTTATCTAGCTCACGATACAAGTACAAACCAGGCCATTCCATAAAGAACACCGTGGTAAACTCGGTCAATGGATTGCCCACCGAGTTAAGAAAAGCCATGAGGTTGTCGTCACGTCATTTGCTTTGGGCTGAGCGGTTGATACTGTCGACCATTCAGCCTTTTCATGCGAGCAACAAGACCTTCAAACCTCACCGAGTAACCGACCTTAACCTTGAAACCTCTTTTAAAAAACATTTACTCGTATTTCAGGACAATGGGCTCATCTGGCTTTCAGAAGTTCGTGGTGACCAAAGCTTTTTTGATGTTTTAAAAAATTAGATCAGCGTTTAAGTTTGCTCTAAGCGCTGTATGCCTATAAAAGGTTGGTCGGGATCATCTTAGATTAGTGACCTCTTTTGACCTTTATTTAGTCCAAACAAGATGCCTACTGACAATCCTGCGATCAACAAATAGGACATGAGCGCCAAAACTTCGCTACAACACATGCCTTCTATTAAAAACCAAATTGGTTTATACCCCGATTTATATTTATACCTGGCTTAAAGGCAATTCAATAAGTCGTAATTCTGGATTAAACTCTCCAATTGTCCACGAAATCACTTCAAAGATGTATGGCATTGTCCAATACTCAGTTGTCGCATCAGGTTGAACCATTCCCTATTATTTCCCTTCGTTGACAGCCATGGCCTGACCTTGACTTGCCGGAGGCCAGTGAACTACAAGGTGCATCAAATTGCTCATGCCAAAATCAACCATTTACTTTTCTACATTTATGCGAAGTTTGTCCGGCTATGCTAGAGTGTTTGAAAGTTATTCTGGAAAACCTTCGACGGATCAAATCTCCCCCCCCCCCCCCAACACACACACACATTAGCACATGCTACATCCCAGCAGAAAAGGCCTTGGTCAATGTCAAAACATAATTCCCTACTAATTCCTTGAGATGAAGCCAACCAAAACAATCGTCTTTGTTATCGGCACGCCCAACTTCATTAGAACGGCCGCATCCTTTCGCCTGGACCTTGCCGGTCTCACGCTATTCCTTCACCTCTGCGAAACTGCGGGGCGTAACATGGGGACAACCACATGTCCTGGGAGGATCACATCTAAAAGCTGCTGTACAACTTTATCTCTTTAATATGAGCCGCCTCTCACTGCTGTGTCTCAGCGTGCCACCCACGCATCGGTGGAGGGCGCGCTGGAGCCTCCGACTCTCCGCCTTTCCGTCACGTGCCGACTGTTGTCGTACTGCGCTGCCTTTTGTTGAAATGGCCTGCTTCCGCCCAGTGCAGCCTTTGGTACCCCGCGTGAATTTACACTCAAACTAAACAAGACTTTGACTTCACAATTGCTCAACAAATGTGTGTATATGAGCCTAGTTCACTGTCTTTTAATCAATGCGCATGTTTGTGTAGTTCTTTGCTTTTACCATGTACTTGGTTGGGATCGATAGCAGCTCACTGCGTGGAATGATTTATAATAAGCTAAACTGAGCTTAGTTGGCTAAGTGGGCCCGAGGAGGTACCTCCTGATAGGCCCCTGACGTGGTAAGCTGGCGGCAGGGATCGGAGGGATCATCCCCTGGCAGGCCTCGGACGACGTGGGCGGGCCGCAGGGAATCAGGGGAACTATCTTCTGATACAACCTAGGGCGCGTGGGCTGGCCGCAGGGAATCAAGGGAGCTACCTTCTGATGCAACCTAGGGCGACGTGGGCTGGCCGCAGGGAATCAGGGGAACTATCTTCTGATACAACCTAGGGCGTCGTGGGCTGGCCGCAGGGAATTAAGGGAGCTACCTTCTGATGCAACCTAGGGCGACGTGGGCTGGCCGCAGGGAATCAGGGGAAGGACGTTTTGACACGACTTCGGACAGCTTGGGCTGGCCGCAGGGAATCAGGGGAAACACATTTTGATACTACTTCGGACAGCTTGGGCTGGCCGCAGGGGAATCAGGGGAAACACATTTGATATCTGAAAAAATTATGCCAAGAGACTGTGCGTGTGCGTGTGCGTGGTGCGTGTGTGCGTGTGTGCGGTGTGCGGCGTGTGCGGCGTGTGCGTGTGTGCGTGTGTGCGGCGTGTGCGGCGTGTGCGTGTGCGCGTGTGCGCGTGTGCGCGTGTGTGTGCGCGTGTGCGCGCGTGCGCGTGTGCGCGCGTGTGTGCGTGTGCGCGCACACGCGCACACGCACACACGTGTGCGTGTGTGTGTGTGTGTGTGTGTGTGTGTGTGTGTGTGCGTGCGCGTGTGCGTGTGTGCGCGTGTGTGTGCGTGTGTGCGTGTGCGCGCGCGTGTGTGTGTGTGTGTGTGTGTGTGTGTGTGTGCGTGCGCGTGTGCGCGTGTGCGCGTGTGCGCGTGTGCGCGTGTGCGCGCGTGTGTGCGCGTGTGTGTGCGTGTGTGCGTGTGTGGCGCGCGCGTGTGTGTGTGTGTGTGTGTGTGTGTGTGTGTGTGTGTGCGTGTGCGTGTGCGCGTGTGCGCGTGTACGTGTGCGCGCGTGCGCGCGTGTCGCGCGTGTGCGCGCGTGTGTGCGGTGTGCGCATGTGTGCGTGTGTGTGTGTTTGTGTGTGTGTGTGTGTGTGTGTGTGTGTGTGTGTGTGTTGGTGTGTGTGTGGTGTGTGTGTGTGTGTGTGTGTGTGTGTGTGGTGTGTGTGTGTGTGTGTGTGTGTGTGTGTTGTGTGTGTGTGTGTGTGTGGTGTGTGTGTGTGTGTGTGGTGTGGTTGTGTGTGTTGTGTGTGTGTGTGTGTGTGTGTGTGTGGTGTGTGTGTGTGTGTGTGTGTGTGTTGTGTGTGTGTGTGTGTGTGTGTGTGTGGTGTGTGTGTGTGTTGTGTGTGTGTGTGTGTGTGTGTGTGTGTGTGTGTGTGTGTGTACTGCTGTTCTGTACATCAGAACAGAGCATACAGACGTGTGTGTATACGTGACTTGACCTCAGGCGCGACGGCATGAAGAGGCGTCGGTCGTGGTATAACCAAGAACCGGTGGGGACCGCCCGGAATACGGGGTTATGCGCGGCGGTAGCTGGATCTATCCGTTGATGTGCAAGGCCTTGGGAACAAGACACAGCCTGTTCTCTTCCGACGTGGTGTACGCCAGGCCTTATGAGCTCTTGATGGTGGGATGTTCGCAACGGATGGAGATCCCGCCAATCGACGCTGATAGGGAAGGCGACAAGGGACCGGGTCGCCGGACAGGGCGGTCAGGCCGGGTTCCAGAGTGTGCCGGCCGAGGAGACCAAGGAGTAAGTCGTGGACGCAGGTCACGCTGGGCGCTCGCTGTCTGCCAAGGGGCTCCACCGTCTCATCGCGCGCGTTGCCTCCAGGCCTCTGAAGGACGCGCCAAGGGGCGGTGCCTTGCAAACGCTCACTCTGGCGGGCGGGAGGCGAGGGCGCAGAAGCGCCGGAAGCGACGCCTCCGTGCTGGACTGTGTGTTAAGGTGCTGCCTAAGCCGCGTGCGGCAGCGGAAGGCTGCGAGCGGTGGGCGTGGCCAAAGAAGTCGTGGGCCGCCCACCGTGGACGAAACGCAGAGAGCGTCGTCCGAATAGCGAGGCCGTCACCCTGGAGGTCTGGCGAGGAAACGAGTCGTCGCTCAGCCTCGGGCACCTGATGTCGGTCCAGAAGCTGCGTCGGTACCGAAGCTGATCAATTTAATCGGATATCTTTAAAAGGTTTAAACGCGGCTTTATCTGGGAGCCCTGGGAGCCCCCCCCCCCCCCCGGCCTTAACTAACTCTCGCAGACTCATACATTCGGCGCACCACCGTATGTGATGTGTATGTGTATGTGATAAAACAAACTCGATTTGTCTTAATGAGAACTCGTGCAGGCGTGCCAGTTATAATGCCAAGGCGCGGGATAAAACAAGGGGGGGGGGGTCCCATCCGTGTGTCCGCCAAGAATGAGTGGGGTGGCGTGGCGCCAGTGGATGTGTATGCTTGGAGTGAGTGCGGTTGTGCGCCGAATGCATGGAGTCTGCGAGGGTTAGTTAAGGCTGGGGGGGGGGGCTCCCAGGGCTGTTATCCAGTGAGCCCTGCAAATGGTATTCGCCGGTTTACGTGGGATCCCTTCCAATTTGGGCGCATTATCTACGCATGCGGTTTTGTTTTTGCCCCGTTCAAATATTATCATCATCTAAGAAGTGGAGGTGGGTTACCGTGGTGTACCACAAGAACCAGGCACAAGTATGTCTCTCGCCAGTTCCTATGTAAAGCACGGCACACAGCCCATATACAGGGAGACAGCCGTTCATGGTGCCTGACCGGACCTACCATCCAGCCAATGTCCCGGTCACCCGCTTCATCCCATCTCTGTGGCTCACCTGCGTATGTGTTGATATCGGGTTTGTACCGGAGTCACACGTGCCGAGCCGTGCGCTAGCGTCAACTGGCTCGTATGCTGACCAATGAGTTCCTCAGTATAAATTTGCTCTTGTGGGAAGACATAATGGCGGCAGCCGGCGACGCACAGCCAGCTGGGGTCTGGCAGCAGCGCAGAGCACCCACCCACCGCAGTTTCCCTCATCACAGTCCCCCCCCCCCCCCACACACGTGCATATTGATTATTGAAAGGTTGTTGATGATAATCGTATGTGAATGTTCAGCACTTGACTTTCGTTAAATTAGGCGAACTGATGTCTGTCAGATGGCATTTTAAGGTTGACAGTGCATTTCTGGACGCAAGCTCTATACTGAAAAAGGAAAATCTCTCTCCGTGAAATAAAGAGATTCAGACCATGTGATACATGGCGTTTGGTACCATACATACAGGTGGGACGGATTCATCGAGTGGTGAATCCGTCCCACCTGGTTTTGTAGCATCGCAACTGACCTAGTTTTTTTCTGTTGCAGGAACTGATCCAGTGAATCACCCCCGTCAGCCATTTCATATGTAAACCTTGCACAGCACGCTCACGTCTCCAGCGGAGACAGTGGCATGTCACGCGCCATGTTTGACATGTGTACAGCCTTCGCGAAATGCATGAGATCAGCGAGTGAAAGCTCTTGTTTTGTAGAGATTTGGTTTAAGTTTTATCGTGAACAACTTTTTGCGTGCGGAGTGTGAGTTATTTGGCATGTGTGTACCTAAGCATATTCCTCGGGCCGAGCTCCTTTGCCTAGGGCCTAAGCACTCTGTGAAATGACCATGGTTAACGAATGACAGGACATTGTCATGCCATATGTAGGCATTCTGCCATGGTTAGGAGCTTCCGGGCGAAAACTTGTATAGACTTCATTGCTGACCAAAGTCATTATGCTTCTCGCAAAGCTTGTGCTTGAATCCGAGATGGCTCATCGGTGGCTCCGTCATCAGCCCTGAGGCAAGGATGGACGGCGGGGGAAAGGATGAATTCGCGGAGAAAATAACGTCAACATGATGGCGTTGCACAAGAAGAAAAATCTGAAAAAATGGCTTGGTCTTGGTCAACTCTGCACCCAGTAATTTATTCAGAATTTATATATTTGCGGTAGAACCAGACACAAGTATGTCTCTCGCCAGTTCCTATGTACATATTCATCAATGCCTGCATGTAAAGAAAAGGACTTTTTAAGGAGAGAACTGGGCGATGCCGCCATATTTTGCTACGCATGCGCTATAAGCCTGCATGAGAAACCCACGTAGGATTTACTAATTCCCTAACGTTACACTTCTACACTACATACTGTGAGTACATGATCCCTCATACTTTCATTTGGCCGATGACCACGTGGTCCTTTACGCAGCGAAAACGCACGGGCACGCTCAATGTGCAAGGTCATAAGTGACAGCGTGCCGCCCACACGTGCCGCAGGTGGGAGGCAGCATGTCCCCTCTATCGTGTGCCCTTCCATCAGGAAAATACGGATACTTTTCGTACCATATTTTTCATTTCATATCAAACATTTCGGCGTTTAAAAGGCCAAAACTGCGTAAGGTGAAGCACCATGCGTATCCAACAGTTCCAGCGCAGCATTCCTGCAGGAGAGCACATCTGGGCCACACCCGGCGACCGAGCGTGTTCTGAGGCGGTAGCCGCATGGCTGCGGCCAAGATTACCTCACTCACCGATGTATGATGTCAATGTTACATTATCACGAAGTTATGTTGCACCAATGTACACGCCCCGCCCTGCCCAGCCTCGCCAGTGCAAGTTGTGTGTGCGCGTGTGTTTGTGACGCAGTGTTCATGCCGGTCCAGCTGTTTTTCAATACACTCAGGTACCCGATACGGTATCCAGGGTCGACCTTGTTCTAACACCGAAATATGCCGTCTCTGAGAAGGAAAAACGCACGCGTCGCCTCCCGGCCAAGTCAAATGCCTCGGGGAAATAGGCCTTAAAATGACAGATGCGACACACGCTTTTCTTTGAGACAACAGAAGACAAGCGACATCGACACCGCAAACTGACTGAGACAGCTATGAACAGGACCCACGTCATTCAGAGCCAACACTCGATAACCAAGTGCACCAGGGACACAAAATCACCATGCCTCGCGGAAAACTGCGAGTCCCGACTTCCTCAGGTTAGTTTATATCGCAAACGCATTTGTAGCTGCACGGGTCAAGGAGGCCACCTTTCTTTCTCATTATCGCTTCGTACTACGTCCCACATCTACGCGGTGGAGTATGGCGGAGTAGGGCGGGCGGTGGAGTAGAGCGGGGTGTTTGTGTATGGCGGCGGTGGAGCAGAATGGCGGTGGAGTAGGGCGGCGGTGAAGCAAGTGGAGGCGCGGAAGGTGAAGGTGGGAGTAAGGCGGCGGTGGATTAGGGCAGCCGTGGGGTAGGGTGGCGGCGGAGTAGGGCAGAGATGGAGTAGGACAGCGGTAGAGTATAACAGCGGTGAAATAGGGGCATTGGAGCAGGGCGGAGGGTAAGTAGTCGCTCCACCTATTTCCGAGCCGCTGGTCATCTTATGCTAGTGCTGTGCTGTCCGCGCAGCCCTCAATACCAGCGATGTCAAATCACCAGGCCAGCTTCCAAGGAGCCAACGACACGATCACAAAGACAGGCCAATTCAGCCGACGACGCGGAGTGATTGCCAACCTGTACCTCAGGCCTTAGCGGCAATAGAATCAATCACAGTACGTGTTGGTGAACCTTGCCGTCGTTACAGAGCGCACACGGAGACGCCCTCCTGTCAAACCTCTTCATGGCCACGGCTTTTTCTTATTACAAAGACACGATCGGGCCCCCGCGTGTTTCCGTCGGTAGGCCTGAGCCGTCCTTACAGCACATGTCAGCAGTCTCAGGCGGTGAGGGTCAGCTCTCTCCGGTACCTGGAGGTGGGGGTGTCAGCTCCCTCAGGCACCTAGAGATGGGGCGTCAGCCCTCTCAGGTACTTGGAGGTGGGGTGTCAGCTCTCTCCGGTACCTAGCGGTGGGGCGCCAGCTCTCTCAGGTACCTGGAGCTGGGGCGTCAGCTCTCATGCACCTGATGGTGGGGTGTCATCCTCTCAGGCACCTGGTGGCGGGGCGTCAATCCTCTCAGGTACCTGGAGGTGGGGCGTCAACTCCCTCAGGTATCTGAAGGTGGGGCGTCAGCTCTCTCAGGTGTGGCGTCAGCTCTCTTAGGTGGGGCGTCAGCTCTCTTCGGTACCTGGCAGTGGGGTGTCAGTTCTCTCAGGCACCTGGCGGTGGGGCGTCAGTCCTCTCAGGTACCTGGAGGTGGGGCGTCAGCTCCCACAGGTACCTGATGGTGGGGCGTCAGCTTTCTCAGGTACCTGGCAGTGGGGCGTCAGCTCTCTCAGGTACCTGGCAGTGGGGCGTCAGCTCTCTCAGGCACCTGGCGGTGGGATGTCAGCTCTCCCACCAACAGCTGCAGGCCGGGCCTGGCCGTCTGGCGGGGGCCGTCGCCGGCTGCGGTCTTCTGGCGCTTTGACCGGCGGCTGCGCGCTGTAGGGAGCGCAGCCACCCGGCCCGCGCTCTGATGTAGGCGGGCGGGCCGCGCAACGCGCCACACTCAGGGCGTGGTGACCGAAGACTGGCCCCGGAGAGCTCCGGCAGTGTTATCGCGGCGAGCCGTGTGACAGGTGGCGATGCTTCTGACCACGATAGAGGAGCGCGAGACTTTGTCACAGGCATTTGATTATTTCTATCCTTCACCGAAGGAGACATAATGAGTATGTTCGACCAATGGCATACGTCTTCGCACATCTACGACTTATTCGGGCTTGGTCAGCAACTGCGAAAATGTGCGACAATGTTCGTTACAGAAACGAATAAGTACCCATATGAACTAACATACATTTAAACGAATACGCGTGTACATGCACCTGCCCATCATGTCAAAAGTACGCTAATTTCTAACTGGCTAATGCGCTCAGGACCGTCCAATTAGCAAATCTCCATACTCTCCCCATGATTCGCTGTCAAACGCGGAATGGATTCATACGCCAACATACCTTGCAGCACGCTTACACTTCGGCAGCGTGAAAGTTCACAAAACAAGCAGCGAGGCATCGCCAGCATTTATTATTCAAAATTTCAGCACGGGGTAAAGCAAAGGTAACTAATTCTCATAAAACGTTGTCATTACTCCCGCAAGCACAAAAAATGTCCGCGGGTAGTGGTACACTTACAAAACTTCAATCCCAACCGTGTGGGAAAGCACACCTCTGAGGCGAGGGAGTCACAACAGCGTCAACAAACTTCGCCCCATTCCAGCTTGGATAGATGGTAATCGCAATGGGAGCAAGTGGGAGTAGAAAACTAAACTGTACGACTCGTCAACGCCACCGGGGCGGAAGCGCCACCTACACAACCGAGACGATCTCGCTATACAGGTCGGGACTGAGGATGTCACCGAGACAACCGAGCACCGAGTCGGGCACAGCGGCGGCGTCTTCCCGGCCCGCGTCCGCTCGCGCCTCCGCTTGTGTACCATCTTCATGTGCATAGAGTAGTTGAACCTGACCAGGAAGGACTTGCCGCACACGTCGCACGCCAGCCCGTCGCCGGCCGTCGGGCTGGCGCCCTGCCGGCTCGGCAGCGTCTCGGCGTCCGGGGCCGCTGCGTCCGTCGGCGGCGGCGGCGGCGGCGGGGGCGGCGGGGTGGCGGCGGCGGCGGCGGCGTCGCTGGAGGCTCCGGTCCGCCGCACTCGTGGCTGTGGACCATCTCGGGCGTGGCCCACGGGCGCGCGGCAGCGGCTGCAGAGCATTAAGCCATGCGCGCTGGCGCGGTGACGCTCCAGCTTGGCGGGCGTGTCGAAGGCGCGCAGGCAGCGACTGCACGGGAAGCGTGGCGGCTCGTGACCCAGCCGATGCCGGGTACAGCGCCGACGCGCTCTCCATCACCAGGCCGCAGACGTCGCAGCCGCGGTAGCCGGTGCGGTGCAGCCGCAGGTGCAGCGGCATCAGCACGCGCGCGATGAACTTGCGGCAGACGCGGCAGCGGGCGGCGTCGGAGCGGTACCAGCGCTGAGGCCGCAGCTCAGGCGGTCGCGGCGGCGGGCTGCGGTCGCCGCCAGCCGCCGGCTCGGGCAGAAGCCGCGGCGGCTCGGCGCTACCCGAGTACGTGTCGGCCAGGTCCAGCACACCGTCCACCTCCACCATCTCGCCGAAGTCGAGCAGGCGGCGGCGCGGCGGCCGGGCACGCCGCGCCCCGCTCGTCGCTGCCTCATCGCCGGAAGAGTCCGCAGCTGGCGCCGGATCGCCCAGACGCGACACGAAGCTGCGTCGCAGCAGGTGCGAGCCCGGCTTGCGCAACACCTTCATGCGCCGCGCCGGTGGCAGCACCACCGGCTGCCGCCTCAGCCGCCAGCGACGCCAGCAGGGTCGGGGCCTTGGACACAACCGGCGACTCAGTGGGGGCCAAGTTCTCCGGCACTTCCTCGGGCGCCACCTTCCTCTTCCTCAGCCGCTGTCGCATCGTGCGACTGATTCTCGGCGGCGTGGGGAGGATCATTCACATGCCGGAGACATAGCTGCGACAGGAAGCTGCCCTTGAAGCGGTCGCGCTCCATGTCCGGCATCAACGTCACGTACGTCGGCAGCGCGGTGGGCAGGCCGCCCACGCTGCCCGCCGTCGCCGGCGGGACCCGGGGGCTCCTCCGGCCCGTGTCCGCCGGCCCGCACCCGCGGGCTCCTCCGGCTCACGCCCGTCGGCCAGCGAGGAGCAAGCGGCGGCCGCCGCCGTCGCCAGCTCGCGCAGCCGCAGCAGCGCCGCGTCGGCCGCGACCGGTTCGTCCTCGCGCTCCTCGGCCGCGATGGCGGACAGCTGCCGCAGCCAACAGCGGCGCGCGGCGAAGCAGGCGCACGCAGCGAAGCCGGTGAAATCCGGCGCCCCCGGCCGCGCCGGCGCCGTCCGCCGGCGGTGGGCCCGCCACGGCGTCCGCTGACGTCACCGGAGCAGGATCCAGCGGCGCCGCGACGTGATCACCCGACCCCGCATCGCGCGCCGTCCGAGAAGGCGCAGGCTGTCCGCCGGAATCGTCGCAGCTCGGCACACAGACAGCGGGGCTCGATTCCGGCAGGGCCAACGATAGGTTAGTTGGGCAGGTCAGCTGGTTAGCAGTCGTATTTAATGTGCCATTGCTGGTGCACGACATCTTCTCGACATAACGTCCTCCTGCTTCTGCGCCGACCTCCCGGGTCCAGGCCCGGCCATAGCTTTTGATGACCGCAAATTTGGTCGTTAGCTTCTGGGCCGGTTTCCGCCTCCTCGGCACCGAAGCTGGCCGCGGCCGGTGCAGGACGGGAGAAGTGGACGACGGCGGGGAGATGACGCCGGCACTGCCGCCTGCCGGCGCAGTTGGTCCCAACCCGGGCACAGGGCAGCGCTCCGGACCGGCGTCCTCACCAACGTCGTTCTCCACCACCCAGATCACACCACCCGCCTCGGCCACCACGCCCGACACATCGTCCACCACCTCGATCACGTCCTCGCCCGCCGACAGCAGGACGCCGTCCAGCTCACAGCGCGCGGCCGCCGCCGCAGGCCGGCGACCGGCCGCCGACTCGTCCTCGTCCGGCGCCGCCGTGGCTGCCGCCTCCTCCTCAGACATCTGCGACGAGCAGTCCGTGAAGATATCAATCAGCGGCGACCCGACGCCGTCCGAGTGCTCCTCCCAGAGCTCGGCGAGCACGCCGTTGGGGATGTCCGGCGGCCGCGAGCGCTCCGGCTCGGTGGCGCCGTCCGCCGGCTGGCCGCCGCTCCGACGCGAGCGCAGCATACTTCCCAGCGGCAGCGGTGCCGTGCAGGGCAGACCAGGCGACACTGATGACGCCCGGTGAGCAGGGGCCAGGCGCCGTCAGCAGAGGCTACCTGCCAATGGAAAGGTACGTTAGGAATGCAGGGAAGATACACCATCGAGCTATATTACGTAGTTGTTTTTTTTTGCAAAGTGCTAATTACCATTAAATACAACCAGATAAGCAAAAACATTTTCGCACATCTCGCATTTCGCACATCGCAGAATGTTTCTTTGCCCACTCATCCAGCATTTTGTGCAATATGCAAGAACCTGGTTGAAGGTAAGACATCAACAATGGTCTTAGATGACAGGAAAAGTTCGAGATACATTTAAGACTACCCAACACCACAGGCTGGTATTACGTACTAACTCCCAACACCACAGGCTGGTATTACATACATAACTCCCACAACTCATGACTAGGTCATCATAGAGCAATAAAGGGACCCTTTAAGAGCAATGTGTGACCATATATTTTAAATGAGGGTAGTTCCCATTACCTACCAACGGAGATGTAGCTGTCAAAGCTGACAAACCCAAATATCACTGGAATTGCGAGTGAAACCACTTTATTGATGAAAGGTTGCATCGCTCCATTTCCCAGAGCAGCACTTCAGCAAAATATGTGATGTGTTGACTCACATGGGACTCACATGGGGACCCATGGGAATTTGTAGGTGATGTTCACAAAGCTCTAGATTAAAGGTACATGGGAGTGACACATTTGTAAAATTCACCATGCTTCAATAATGTTCACTTATCCGCTATAGCACAGTGGCATTGTGTCTGTAATGCTCATTTGATAATCATATGATCCATGATAATATAAACCATGATAATCATAGTCAATCTGGACCTTGAAGGGAAGAAGTGAACAATACAAACATTATTAGGTTGCCAATTAAGTGGGCACTATAGGCTGATGTGCACTAAAGATGTGCACTGTAGGTCGAATTGTCAAACAGGTTGACAGAAGTGGTAATAAAAGCCTCAAAATAAGGGGCAGCTACCTCCAGGGAGGAGAATGAAAAGGTCTCTCAAGGGCCTCAAGGCATGAACTGTCAGCTAGGATGCTCCTTTCATGAAAAGGCACTGGCTACATCTTATATGTTACTGTAAAGGACTGCTGAGGATGGGTGTAATCTCAAACAATTAACTTGTTTCTTTCAGAACATCAACCAAACTTGTGCGAGTCATGGCAACCATATGTCTATATAAAAAATTAAGTGCAACTTTAGTCATAATGAAGGGAAGCTTCCATGCTTATATTGTGTCATGCACCACCACACAACTACTACGTCATGAGACAATTCCTTTAATATTTCAAGTAAACTTTTTGCATTTTACCTTGCAGTATCAATCCACATGCACCAGACCGCATGGGATATAACCCCAATGACTGAAGGAAATTGGTGAGTTGAGGAAATGACAAGTTCAGGAAAGTCATCAAACAAGACTTTCCTCAACATACAAATGCTATTTGCAATCCACCTCACACAACCATTCCATTTGAAACATGCCATATGGATTCCTAGTTGGTGCAAGAAGCATAGACAAAACTACCGAGCTCTTCTGAAATGGATATCATCACTGTCCTCCAGGAACAGTCTCAGAACCAGGCCCCTTAACATGCACAGAACACTGAGAGGACCGTGACAGTCCAGTACTAGGCTTTCAGCTACCTTAAATTTTTGTGGGCAGGTTTTTAGAGACCAAATACCACTGTGACACTGCCACACCTGTTTCAGCTTGGCTCCCTCAGCTAATAATCAACTGGCTGTCAGCAACAAGTCGTGAGAGTAGAGCTTCTGGGACACACATTTACTGTTCGTACCTATGCTTGATACCAATATATATGTGTGAAAATCTGTGGCCTTCAGTAAAGCAAAATTCAGTGCTTAAATGGCAGGAAATATTCCACTGGGTCTTTCCCTTTATGCAAAATACTGTGACAAAATTAGGCTTTTCCAAACTTACTATTCACCACTTCACAGGGCTCATCAATAGCGCCATACTAAAACTTTACCTACTGCAATACCCTCCAGAACTACATGAGCTGGCCAAAATAATTGGGCTTCAAACAGACTGTGTTCTTCTTTGCACTGACGACTCTTGGAACCACGACAACGAGGAACACCTCGTGCTTGTTTGTTTTGAACCAGTGTGGCAAGGTTGTTGTGGAAGCCAAGGGTGTCAATTGCATTCTTTTGTGAGCCTGACCATCTCAATGCTGAGTTGGGCCCCAATGCTAGCTTGCTCTCACTTCTTCACAATGTTTTTGCTTGCACATTACAAAAAAGAAACTACTTAATTGTTCACAAACTACCATCTTTGACTCTATCTGGGACATGCTGAAAAAACCTTCTCTGGGACCTAGCCCTCCACCTTTGAATACAATACAATATGTAATATATATATAACATTATAATATAATAATAAAATAACATAATGATACAATATATCTAATACAATACTTTGAATAAGCTCAGCACATCCAATGTATTTAATTTCACAGCTTCCAACAGGTGTTCAGATATTTTAACATTCAGTGTGGTGTGGCAGAGACTCATTATGCAAAAAGTGTGATGAATGACAATCACTCTTATACCACACACTCCTGAATGGAATCTCAAAATATGCAATAAATCCAAGAGATACCATAAATAAGCCACAAAGTTCACTATGCTCTAGCAAGCACACCTTGTTCTGGAGAGCTTAACATGCTAACATGTTGAGCTTTGTTGTGGATTTCTTGAATTTCTTGAAGTTTGAGACTGTGGTCAACTGTACAATGTAGAACTGATAAAGATTAACAGTCTTAGTGAGGGTCTGCTTTCAATTAATAATCATTGTAAGAAGTCAGTAGGCTAACAGTAGGGTGGTAACAGTCTTGGCAAATTAGTGATGGGTGCACTCCCTTGCACTCCCTTCTTGAACACTTCATTATTTTTTTATTATTCAATTACTTATAACTTTATTTAACTATTTTGATGAAGTTTGTGACTAGGGTGCTGCAAAACATTGAACCCAAAAGCAATATAATCCCAGATATGCAAACTGTCTGCTGATATGCACCTCCTGCATGTACCATGTCTAGCTGTGGAATTAACACAATATAATAATATACCCACATAATAGCAGCATATATGACTAACAGGTTGAAATAAACAGGTTGATGATGTGTGATTTGTTACTCTGCTCATCATTTTTACATATATTATGCTTGGTTTGCAGTTATTTTTGGCTGCTACATATTTTTCAAGCCCAGTGAGTACCAGCAACTCAAATGCTCAAATACTGGCTCTTTTCATCTTGCCTTTGCACATAACACCATAGACTATGGTGGTCTTATTATGGAAAGATCATTTGGTGCACTGGACCACTTGCATTACTGCTATAAGTGTCACTAGTCACTTTTGACATTGGGTTTGTAATAAGGCCAAAACTGCCAAATTATTGTGGTGCAAAGCAGAAGCACATGGGAAAAGCTATGCTGATCAAATGAGCATCACATGATGGAACTTTCTGCATATTTTGAAAGCAAACTTTGGCAGGCATAATCCCTCTATCTTAGTTTATGCTCATGTCTTAAAAATCCCTCTAGCTTAGTCATCAAGCTTAGTCCATGCATCTTTGACATTTCAAATTGATTACATTACCAGTCATTTTATCTTAGTTGGCCATAATGCTTAAATACTGTAAAAGCAAACAGAATGTCTATAAGATACACCTTTCACACAAGACAGTGCCACACAAATCATGTGGTATAGTGAGCAATCTGTGGGCAAAATAATACATGCTGGACCAGGAAAGCAGCCTGATAGCAAAATACCTTAGCCCAATTACAGAAGCAAAAGCAAGAAGCATGATTTCCCCAGTTAGGTATGACCTGCATCATTGTACTGGTGCATTGGTAACATCATCATTCTAATGGCAGTTTATCACAAGCTCCAAGATCACTATGGTAATGATCAAGATATATCAGTCAGTGTCACATTTATTAAGTATGGAGTGTTTTTATAATTGTACAAAATGTGTAAGTGGTGGCTATCACAGCAACAATTTTAAGAGTGTCTACCAAATATTCTAAGGACACAAATGAAAAAGAAAACTATTATAAGTTCTGAGAATTTGAGAGTAAAAAAATGACAAATGATTTTTTCTAATACATGCCAAAGGCAATATCTGGTATGCTAGGCAGGAACACAGCAACCTTGTTGGGCCATGTGGCTCATTGGTATACTTGAGCTTCATTAGTCTAAAGACTTCATGGCCAGAACCAAAACAAATATAACAGCCTGAAAAGATGAACAATGCTATATTTGCATGCTTGGTATATGGCACTGGGCCATCATCAGTGATCGAAGATGATGACATTAATGCAAGCAAAACACTGTTTAAAACCAGATTGAATCTTTTGTCTATACTACAAGCACACAATGTTCAAATTGTGGCAGATGTAGCTAAGTGAAGCATGTCATTTACTGATTTCATAGTGGCTTAACTGACTTTCATAAAATTGCCAGTATTTTAGAAATTTGTCATGTTTAGATGCTCACTCCAATGACTTTCAAATACCAAATTGTCTCAGTATTGTGTGCTTGCCAAGCAAGGACAATCTTGACATACTTGAACCCCATGATACAGAAAAGTTGGGTGCTATTATCACTAAGGGTGTCTGACAAACATAGGATGAAAAGACTGAAATTGAACGCATTCCTTTCATGATCCAGCACCACACAGACGTGCCTTTCGGAAGAGGCAATGCTAGACAAAACACACCCTCAAAATATCACTCAACATTTATCATCCACAATGTATATGTTTATCATACCTTGCATAAGCATCTACCGCCCAAATCATCCAACCCAGCCACTCAAAACAGACAGGATACACACCTATTCGCACCCCATCTGTCAAATCTGAATGTAGTGGGTTAAATCATGGCAAAAACACTCACCAGTGGCCAACACCACACCCAACAACCTTCTTTCCTCTAGATTGAATGATCAGAATACCACACCATCTCAGTATTAATGCTTCTTGAATTCTTTCAAACTGCTCACCAATATTCTACATGCCTAACAAAATGGCACGCACCCACAGAAACCACAATGCAACCCTACCCACGCAGACGCAATACGGGCGTCCCGCTTGCTGACATACAGAAATACGCGAGCAAACAAGGAGACCAATCAAGGGAGCTCCCCGCTCCTCCAAAACATGGAGATTCCAGATGACCACAACCGTTGTATCAGACGCCCCCACCGCACCCGCACCACCTACCCGACCACAAAACCGAAGCAGCACTTGTAGACAAGTCCCAGTGCTCCGAGCGTTTGCCGTAGGTTGTGCTGCCATCTACCAAGCGAGACCACGAGGCCTGGGCACACGAGTGAAAGTGAAGGTGGCGCAATGCCAATAGTTTTCGTTGTAATGCACTACACGCAAGGTGCGTGGTATGCTTAAAATTATCCAACGGTAATTTAAAAATAAACTATCCAAAGTTGTTTGATATTGAGACTGCACATGTATGCTTTAATCAGAAGCCTGTTGTCTATTCTACATGCGGGCCAATTTAGAAAGCCCGCCACACGTTGGAATCGAGCGTTGCCCGCATTTTCAGTTTCTCACTTCCTTTCGGTACGCAGGCGCGCGGGACGCTTATTACCAATTATGACAGCAACATTCACTTTTACCCTCGACAAGCAACCACATTTCAATATGTTCCATGCCACGTAATGCATCTAGAGGTCATACCCATTGACTTAAGCATCCACAAAGCCGACTTAAGGGCGGCATTGAAAGGGTACGCAGCCAAGCGGGATACGGGAACCCTGCTGCCTGGGTCACTTACACTGTTTGGGACGGTTTGCAATAGATATTGAAACTTTTTGCAGGAATTGGGTCCGCAGAAGTTCGAACAAAATTCGACAAACTTTGCACTTTCCCGGTTATAAACTTTGCCCGTGTGTCTGGGTTAGGGAGACCCGAAATATCCAAATCGGCAACCATGCATTATGTCAAATTGCAGGCAGATTGCAATCAGTCAAATTGCAGGTGCATCAATGAAGCTGGATTTCAATTAAACTGAAGGGAGCTATCAGAACCTGAGAAGGTAGTGGTCTGTGCAATACCTAGTGTATGTATAGTGTTTGTGCAATATCTAGTGTGATATAACCGATACCGTCCGTCTGGCGCTGTCTGGAGGTTGATGGGAAAAAACAGCATGGGCAATAGCTACCAAGATAAACCAGTATTGACTTGACATGCAATGGTCTCAAAGGCATCTACTGCATTATGCCATGCACATGTGTATCAAGTTGAAATGAAAATAGACACATGCTATGATGCAGGTCGCGAGTTTTACCAGTGCAACACAAAGTGTGTATGCTTTTTCATAGCCGATATTACTACCAAAGGATAGATTTTTAAAGCTGTGTTGAGGTAGCATGGTACTGTTTTCTCAAAAGTGAGATGGAGAATGAATCACAGAGCACTAACCCACCCCCGAGCAAGGCTGAGAATGTGTAGGTTCCCAGTGCACATCATTCTTGAAATCTACCGATTTAAGCACAGTACTCTGTGCACACAGTATAGTACACAGTCCTTTGTATTCACATTTTGATGATGATGAGCTCTGACAATTCTGAAAACAGAGAGACCCAATATATGTAAGAGACCCAATACATGCGATATTACGCTGCACATTTACCCACCCTGACAGCAGTCACACACGTGTAGTCAACGCTATTCGCTCCACGCCTTCCTGAACCCATCGTCGTTCTGGCCAAGGGGTTCAACGTGGTTTGCAACCCCCCTCCCCCCCTCCACCGCGCGAGTCCAGATCAACGAGCACGGAGGCCGGTCGGTCACGAGGCGTCCATGGACTGTCGGCCGCGCTGCAGTCGGCGCCTTCCTCCGGCTGCTCCTCATCCAGCATCTGCTGCAGCTGGTGGATGACGTCACCAGCACGTGAAACTGCTTGCGGCGCATCTCCAGCTTGGCGTCGAGTCCATCCTGGCAGGCCTGCGCGCGAGACAAGGCCCACGTCCGTCAGCTGGGCGGAGCGGACGCTGACAGCAAGCGGACGCTCCACAGGACCGCCTGATCGCCCCCAGCTCGCCGCTCACTGTCAGCCGCCCGTGGCAGCCGGTCAAACACGTTACGGTTACTTTTCCGTAACGAAACGTGTTAAGTTGCCTTCAGCAATGGCAACTTGCCAATGATAAACGCTGCCAGCGAAGAATCATAAGACGAAGACCACAACATGAATATTAAGTTTCCCAAGCAAAACCGATGCATGCACACCTCGACTGGGTTTCGCTGGGCTCGTCAGCTCACTGGCCGTGCGTTTGTTGGTAATGCAGGGCCGACTACCATGCCACAGGAGCCACAATGAAACTTCACCTGCATCGACTGGAGCTCGGCCTTCAGCTCGGCCAGGCGCGCCTCCGTCTCCTTTCTGTCCGGCTGCTGATTGATGACTTTGGCGAGTGCGTCGTACTCCATCCGGTTCCGACGTAGTCTGCACAAAAAATTACCAGAAACAGCTCGAACAGGTACAAAAAATCCAAGATTACATGACTGACTAACGTTTCGGAACGGAGGCAAGAGCATGCGCGCCACTCAAACACGCCATTATCAGTGTATGTTCTATATGCCAATTAGTCGCGAAGTTTCAAAGAATCTATTACGGCGATACCACTCGTGCCTTTGTCTATCTTGTCCACATATTGAGCACATGTACACAAGACGTTACCGAAACTTTTTGTTCAGGTATGAATTGCACGACTAACGGAAATATCAAACGTGTGCTGACTATGAAGACTGTACCTGTTTGGCTTTGTTTAGCTCCTCCTTCGCCTGAACTATTTCAGCTTTCACACCAACTCTGTGCCCGAGTCGATCTGCTTGTAAAGCGTCTCATAGTTTTCCAGCTCAATGGCATTCATCTTGCATCCTTGCTGGTGATTTGGCGATGGAGAACTCACACTGGCTCAGCTGGGACATCAGTCCGCTCGTAAGTAAGGGACCTGAAACCAGGGAGACACCCTGTACCATACACAATATATACATGCATACATGTACATGTGTGTGTCAACACCAAACCATGGGAAATGGCATGTGACAAGGGATGTGCTTAAAATCTGTTAAAGAAAAGCAAACCATCCACACTGTTTCACGAGCACACATCAGCAGGTGATGGCCACTGGCACTGCCACCACAACAGAAAAAGAAAACATTAGCCTGGCATGTCTGCTTCTTCTGTTCATACAAAACTTTTAGGACATCAGTAATTTCCACATGTTGTTTCAAGTCAACCCTATAAACCTTTTGCTTGGCAAAATTGGGTTCAACTATCAAAATTCCTCGACACTAGTTTAAAGACTGGTGGCAGCATACCTAGGACTGTCATGATCATGAGAAGTAGATTCAGGCACAAAAGAACGGCCAGCGGTGTCTGAAGTGGCTTGAGACTAGTAACAAAAGCAGTGGCAGTATACCAAATGCTGGACAAAAATAATGGAAAGAAGATTCAAGCACCTAAGACCGACCCACAGTGTACAAAGTGAGGAAAAAATAATGGGCAGAGCACACACCCTTCATCTCCTGATGCATCATCAGACATTGCCCACTTTGTGAGGTTCTTCAGAAACATGTTCAGCCGTCGGTCATCTCCCGTTCCGTCGCCGTCGATCATCAGCCGACGACGGATTACTTCCTCTGTCGGGCAGACCCAGTCAATCACCCAAGAACACAGATAGCTGCATAGATGCCTCAAAAATACTGCAATGCCAAAAGAGCTCACCTAAAAACCACGCCATGATGGGGTAAACACAAGCTTGGAAACATTTCCACTTAATGTGGGCAGTAGAGTATATTGGTAAGTTAGCAACACTGTCATATGCCAATGCTCATCTGTCAATCATAATTCAAGATTGGAGACATCACACCAGGCAACATGTGAAGCCACATGTCATAATTTTGACCAGCAGCCATATGAAGAGACTTTAAGCACCTCTTATCATGCATGGGCACAAGGTCAGGCTTCTGATATCCAAGCTGATCCTTCATTTTTCAGTTGATGGGACCTTTCACAAATCATAAATGTTTTCCAATTCCCCATGATCAGTCATACTGTATGGTCATCTGATACCATAGAAGGAAATAAAATCATGCCAACTAATGTAAAGTTATTTTATAAAACAAAGGATGATTGTGAAACATTTAGCACTTTGCAGCACGACTCCACATTTAAAATAAAATTAAACAACAGTTCATGCATATTTACAAGTCCTATCTGTTGTCACATGGCTCATTGTTATGCTAGGCTCCATTCTTGAGGTAATGTAGTAGAAACTATGCACACAAGGCATATTTGTTTGACTTCACATTGACATGTCAAAGGTCACATCACTGGTGAGTTACTGCCAGTGCATTACCCACCATACAGAGTGACACAACATGAATATCCATGCTGTCAAAGTACCCTTAGCTGGTACAGTAGACAGTGACTTAAACTAACTTATATTGTCATATGGTTTTACCCTCACACCTAAGGTGATGCTAAAAAACTTATCTTGCAAAGTCCAGACAACCTAAAATAGGTCATCACATGCTATGCAATGCTGTTTTCAACTATCCCTAGCATCTTACATGTATGGCTATACAGCTAGCTGGTGAGGGCCTGGTGCCTGAGACCTCATATACAAAGGTACATATGATGCCAATCTGGTGAGGACTGGACTGTTTTCTATAGACAAATATTGTTGTGGTCTCAGCCTCCAGCTATCAATAAGTTGTTAAGCAGGAAATGACCTACAGGGTATAGCTGTCTAGGAGACTACTTTGACCTTGGCATATACCACTATAAGAAAACCCACATGGAAGACAAACCACCACAATTGCAGGGGCCTAACAGAGGCCTCTGTTGCCTGTGTGCATGTAGGCCAGGCTGCAAACATACACATGCTAAACAATGTTTCAAGGAATTCTAATGTTAAAAACACTATATATTTCCACAATACTTTTCAATCCTAAAAAATGAAATTCAAGGCAATCTTGCCTGACCTGAGTCCAGCACATGCGAGCATAATGTTCAAACTACTGATGCTATATGGGCATCTGAAGCAGCAGGTGAATATTTTGCAGACTAGCCTGCACCACCTCAACAGTATATAATGGTTAAAAACCACATTATCCCACAGATACTTCAAGCAAACCACCACAAGTGTGCCAAAATTCCAGCATTAGTGCAAAAAGTTACAGGCTTCTAGCAAGTACCGAACATTTTGAACAACTGACATGAAATAAAGAATTTTGAGTACAGAAAACACTGGGTTTTCTCACAAAACTACAGAACAATCCCATGCCAAGGAATGAAAAAAGCTGCTTCAGTTCCTTAAACACATTTTAAAAAATTATCTACACACACCCTTAACTTCAAACTAACCACCACAGTATCACGATGCGAACGTAAGTTCACAGAAACACGACGATACTCGAGTGGTCGAACAAGCGGCCTTTACACACAGACGACACAGACACACGAGCAGACCAAATACGCTTACCGTCAGGACATGACAAACGAATGAATCCGCTATGTAACTTGTCGATGACAACCGATCCACGAACACTTTCAGCTAGATATGACAAACTGCGGTTTCCGCCGGCGACATCCACGGTCACGACCCGATATAATGTAGCGTGAGCGCAAGTTTGGTCAACAGAGCATATCGGGGACCTTTATAATTGTTTAATTTAAGGTACTTATTGGTAGTGTTAAAAAAGGCACATTTTGAGGTGCCTTTTTGAGTGGATGGATTTTTGGGACCAGAGCACTTATCCGGTTTTGCTACAGCCCATGATAAGCAGGCCTTGTTATGTGAGCCCTGACCGCTAATTCCGACCGTGCAATTGCAGGTCAGCGGCATAATTTGGTGACGAGATTTTAACTTGCCATGTGTATTCAAGATGGAGTCTCTGCTACTAAGATATTTTTCATGGATTGGAAAGCAACGATGTAGGCAGTTCAAGTACAAAAACCCTCTTTTAATTAGGTAACCTGGAGATTTTTTCCATTGGCATCTACTTGAATTAATTAGTAGTCATGTCTATCAATCCCGTGCCAAAATGTTGGCGCGTTGTTTTCAAAGCAAAGTTCACGCGCTTCTGCAGTACGAGTCACGCGTGACTGGTACGTGGTGTGTTTTGGGGTATTGAATTTAATCTGGATGGGTGTGGACGTCAGCTGTCGAGCGTGGTTATCGTGCTTCCATTCAAGCTTTCTCGTACGCTAGTGTCCGTGGCTGATTCCTGCACCTTCGCATTAGGAGTTATCAAAAAGGAACGGGTTTTAATGGGAGACGGAGCGCGCATCTATGTGCCATCGAAGTCACAGTCTGCCCGCGAGTTTGTTTGGAGTCGGTTACCTCTCACCCCCGATAGAGCGCCTTTAGCAGAGAATTAAAGACCATTTATCTGGCATGACCACAGCATTATTGGTACCCAACCTTGTTGAGAAATGACATTAGATGTGTGCGTGTAGTTTTGCCAAAGTTGATAGAGGCTAAACAGGGGAAATAGCCAAAACCGCCTCCAAAATAATCAAGTAGTGTGCTTCTTCTCAAATTGGATGACCTGGCAGAGTCAGGGGCTAGAATATTCAACTGAATGGGGAACCAACTGCACCTTGTGACAGACAGAGGACCACTGACTTGGAAATTACCTCATGAACATGCTGATGTTGACATTATGTTCTGCCAATAGCAATATGTAATGTTTTTTAGGTTGCATGCAAGGGCATTCTATTTGAGTTCAGGCACATGCAATGGCATCAACATTACAGGATGAGATGATGGATGACATGGGTGTGGCATTTACTCAGGATTACTCAGCTTACAAACTTAGATGTATTAATAGGCATGGGGGAAAAGGTAGGCAGAAAAAACTGTTGAACTAAGATAAACACACAAATAGGTTGATTGAGGCATGTGATGTTATACACAAGACCATGCTTCCTTTGAGGATTTTTTCTGTGAAAACAATTTGGAATCCTGTCCCAACTTTGCACAATTGTACATATACATATGGGCCAGGATGTCATGCATGACCAGAATATCTTTCGGGCTGTTGCATAGCATTCCTATGGGTGCAAAGTGAATATGGGTTTGCCCTCATGAGCACAGAAAGAATGAAAGGATGATTTTAGGTGGGAAATGAATAGGGCATATGGATATCAGATTCAGTTCTAAACATAATATTTGATAAATGTTCCCAATGTTTTAACCATGAGAAGACTTGGACTTTTGGATTCCCCCTTGCTCCCCCCCCCCCCCCCACCCTTCCTGCCATGGTAATAGGCAGGCAGTGCTATATAGCCTCAGCAGTTGAGAGGGTCATAAAAGACCCAATGAAACACACACACACTCACATGAGATGTTTGTCCATCACTAAGCTAAAACCATAGGGATTAGGGACACAATTCATTGCATTAGCAGTCATGAGGTGGCTGACTGGGCATTTACAGGGCTGCCAAAACATGCAGGATGTATGGGTTTTGGGGGACAAGTTAGGGTATGGAATGTTTTGTATGCATTTTTAATGGGCCTTCATGATGTGTGCTTCCTTGTTCCAGAAATGTTTGTGGCATTGACAGCCATGACAGGTCACAGCTTTTGGGTCTAAGCCTTTGATCCTTGATTACTGAGGACCATGGAGAGTGAAGCTAAGGAGGATTTCTCTGGCAGAGGTAATTGCCTGTGAAAAATTAAATGGATGGTCAGTATAGTTGCTCAGAATGTCATTTGGTGTTTGCCTCCTAAATACTTCAGGACATTGCATAGGAACCTGGGCATCTTATGAAGCATGTTGCATATGAGTTGCATGAATGTCAGTCCATGCTGAACATGCTTGGCTTTGATATTGTGCATGAATTCTTTCTGTTCATGCATATAATGTAGGCAATGATACATGCTCTGTGTCTAATGTTCATTTCTTAGCCCCAGCACAAATGAACAAATCAAAGTCTGAAAAGAATAAAACACCAAAGCAGCTGAAGAAAGCTAAGTGTCCTGCCACAATGGACGAGCCTCCTTCAGTGGTTTTGGAATTATTGCCTGAAGTGCGGTTTCCAAGGCCAGAGCCAGAGGACTCATTTGATTGCAAAGCCTCTGAAGAAAGACAAAGCATGTCTCTTTATTTCCTGAGAATGCTGCTGCTTCTGGCTCAGAGTCGATGCCAGAGGTTGGGAATCAGAGTGCTCCAGCAAAAAGTCCCAAGAAACTGACGAAGACAACACTGTCTGGTGTTGCTCGTGAAGACCCAGCAGTGTCCGGCGCAGAATCACTTCCTGAGGTCGGGTAAGAGTTCGAAAGATCCAACTCCTTTTAAAGATTCTTGCAGTTGGTTATATCCTGGAATGGTTCATTTCACTTGAAATGATGCCAGTTGATAGCTATAGTTGAGCATACATAGTTGTTTGCATGCTAGCTCGATACTTCATGAATTATGTCGTCTTTCTGTGTATTGTTGCAGTGTGGCATCTAAGGGTACTTCCCGCAAACGCCGCGTTGTGCCCTCTCGGTACAAAGAGTCTGCAAAAAACCGCGCCGCCGCCACGCCCACGAAGCGTTTGGAGGCGTCGGGTATCTCCATCAATGAGAGCAGACTCTTCTCTACCGCTACAGCCAGGTAGGTGGCACAGGACCTGTGACCTGCATAGGTTTAGGACTTGTTATCGTTATAGGTCTTGTGATTCTGTGTGTATTCTTTGAGTCATTCACTTCTGATGGGTACTGTCTCCTATGTTAAGGTGTTAAGAATATACTCTACAGAATATACTATTTATGTTCTCAACAGAATATACTCTTTGGCTTAAGCCAGCCACTATGATTGCATAGGCGGTGACGTATATGGAGGGTTGTGTTGTCATCGTCTCGAATATGTTAAAATGCAGTATGCATGTTCTGCTTCCAGCACCCCTAATTCCACCATCGGAAAGAAGGATGGAACCGTCATAAAATCTCAACCCAAGCAGCCCCCAAAGATGGCGAATTTGCCACTCTCTGGTAAGCATGAGATTGACATGCTGTCTATATCGGACGCAAAAGTGATGCGTAGTTTGGCGTTCTCGCTGTAGTTATGTTAGTGACAGCTTGCATTCATTGTGTCGACCCATGCTCTCATGCTTTTGCAAGGTTTAGTATTTCCGACAACTTCTGTGTCATCGCACTGTTGTCACTCCTGCTACGTACTGGATAAAACAGTTACGTATTTGTACATTTCCAACGCGAAGATTGAGGAAGTTCAAAATGACGTCACATGTGCGTAAACCAGTTCGGGTCTCCATACTGATCCATTTACATCTTACAGACAAAACCGCACCCAAAATAAAGAAATCCAACAAGACTGCCACCGTCAAAGTGAAGCCCATGCGCGCCATTGATGCGACAAAAGCTCAGGTTTGTTACGTGTCACTTGCGTATCTGCGTGCTGATGTCGTCGAGGTTGCAGTCGTGCACCCATGTTCAGAGGAATGCCTCAGCATTAAACCGATAAGGTAAAGCTTCGGTTGTTGGGATTGGGCATGGGAATAACAGTGTATAATGTTATTGTTCCTGGAGTGCGTGAAAAATTATGATGCGAAAAGGCAGCTTTTCAATCCCTACAAATCTACGACAATGTTTTTGAAAATACCTAATCAATCTAAAAGCTTATGTTTTGTCGCAAGTCGTAATGTACTGTGTCCTGAAATTTATTACTCCCTTTTTATCTCCAATGATACCAAAAGAAACAAGGAGCGGCCTATGACTCATTTGCTGATGCAACCTCCGCTTCTGGTGTTGTTTCCCCGTCAGCTTTCAAGTCAGTTTTCTTGTGGACTGGCCATTCTCCTTGACCGACGCTGCTTGGACCATTTCGGCCACCATGCTCATCGAAATCTTCCTCCAGCAACCAGTGCTGTTTTCCAGGAACGGTTCGTAATTGTCGCGAAACAACCAGCGTTTCATGGTGTACGGTAACGACAGGTTCTCGGTGCCCTGATTGCAGGCTAGCCTCGCTTCTCTATACCAACCGGGAGCGGGTCGATAATGTGCACTCTTCAATCATAGTGGCCACCGGGTCTGCAGGCACCGGCCTCATGCCCCAGGCCACGTCAGCCGTCATGGTCACTGCCAATGAACACGTGGAGATGACCTGGGGCCGGGCGCCGTTAAAACTTCCTTGTTTTTGCTGACCGTACGAGGAGCGTGTTAAGTCGCACCAATCAGTCGTGCGTTGACACCCTGAAGCATGGGGTAAGGTGCCGCCGCGGCACAGCACCACTACGGCGCGTCTTTGGCGAAAATGCGGCTTTGCCGGCATGATAGTGATCACCCCACGTTTCTTTCAGAGTATCCCAGTTTTAGGGTATGGCCATAGAACATGCTGTTTCCGCCATCGGGGTCACACCACCTTTTGCTAGCACTCTGCACCTGCGTCACGTACTGGCCTCCTGAAGAGGTCATACGGAGGCCGGAATCCTGCCTGACCGTTGGATAGCTGAGTTTCAGGTGGACCCGTATTTCGTCCCCGGGGTTTTTGCACGTCCGCGACTGCGGGTCGTACAGTGTCAGGAACTACCTGGACCGGCTGCAGCGCAAAAAAAGCATGGAGAGGGGTCTGAAGGGGAAGATAGGCGTTCAGAGCCCCACATTAAATGATGTGATCGTGCCCGATGCCGAAGGTACATTCTACTCGAATGGTGGAGCGTCGAAACGGACAAGAGACTCGTGCGCAGGGCACTGGGAGCGCAGGGAGGGAATGCGACAGCCGGATCGGTAGAGGGTGGAGCTTCCTAACAAGGTCACGGGCAGGGGGCTCTGTCCAGCGTTACCCCCGTCAAAGTGAATTGCGTGAAGCTGACGGATGGTGTCATATGCGGAAAATGTGTTTACCACTCTAAAAATCTGCATTCAGCGGTGCGGCGGCGGCGAAGAGCTACCATCTGCAGCGGCACTGCATCGCCTAGCGTCGCTCGCTCTGATTCTGTCAGCAAATATTGCGCCGGATCTGTTACTTTGCTGTTCATGCATGTGTATCCATCGGGGCGGGGAAAAGAAACGTTTCAATTTTCGGTCAACTGAAGTTAGCGTTGACTGTGTATGACGCATGCTTTCCCGCGTATCAAGCAAATTCTATGCTGCTGGTGTACTCGTTGCTGCTATCTCAAGCACCGAGCACAGTGGCACGTGTGTTATATTGCGTTCATATATCACGGGACATGTTCGCCACGCGACCGTGGACCTCCGTTCATGGTGCGATGTCGGTGCAAATGTCATGCGTTTCAGTATGGCACTCAACCCTGGCCCTGCCTCACTTTGAAGCACAGCTTTTTTGCTTGAGATTGGTGAATCAGTTTGGCATCTCTAAACCACTTTTCAGGTTTGTTTGTTCTACGATGCAGATGTCACGTATTTATGTCTAGAAATGCATACATCTGTATCTATATTGAAATATATATTTATTTGTACATAAATGTATCATATAATAGGTATATAAAACATGTATGTATCTGGATATATACATATGTATATATATATATATATATATATATATATATATATATATATCCGTCCCCTTTATTGTGATCTGACCCGTGTGGCAATCGTCGACTGTGGCTTAATCGCTGATCGTATACCCAATGAGTGTTTTATGGCCCGGAATGGCCGCTTCCATTGTAGGCAAAGCTGTGCCCATGGTTGGCTGGCTGTACCTCACATGCAGCGGTGCACCGTGTGCCTCAGACGGTTGGAGACGCTGATCGGGTGCCTGAGCACCAGCTGCTGTACAACCAGTACCTGCAGTGGACGTACCTCTGCAGGGTGACCGAGGCGTCCATCAAGAGGGAGCTGCCGCAGCTCAACGTGAGAGACACTGGCATCACGCCAGACGCGCACTCCGCCGTTAGCTGCACCTGATGTGTGTCACGGATTCTTGGATTCCGCTGTGATCCATGCACCTGTGTCAGACGCGAGGCGGTTACGGCATCCGTATTCGACGGACTGTATCCGCGGTTTGTTGCTGGCGTTAGTTTACGCCGACAAGTCCGTGATAAGGCCCATCTGGGGACCCAGCTCATCCCGCTTCTGGTCCTTCCTTTGCTAACTTTCCACGCCAGGGGCTATGCTTTGGTACCACTTTACGGCAGCATCAAGTGTAGACCACCGAATCGATCCGTATAGATCACGCATGGTTCAAAGCGTGGGCCACTGAAGCCGTCCATATAGATCACGCGATGGTTGAAAGTGTGGGTCGCTGAATCCATCCGTTATAAATCACGCGATGGTTTGAAAGTGTGGGCCACTGAATTCATCCGTATAAATCACGCGATGGTTGAAAGTGTGGGCCACTGAATCCATCCGCATAAATCACGCAATGGTTCAAAGTGTGGGCCACTGAATCCGTCCGTATAAATCACGCGATGGTTTGAAAGTGTGGGCCACTGAATCTATCCGTATAAATCACGCGATGGTTGAAAGTGTGGGTTCCTTCACCGCTCTGGTGCCGATGTCGACCGCTGAAACGTGTCCGATTGAACGTCGCGTCGCTCAGTTTCAGGCGCGCCAGCTGAGCGCGCTGGTAGAGGGCGCGCGTGAGGAGAAGCTGGAGCTGGAGCGGAAGCTGCAGGCGGTGACGCTGTACCGCGAGATGGCGCGGCTCGAGCACGAGCTGACTGCCGTTCTCGGGGCCATCAACGGTGAGAACAACACCCGGGTGGGACCGGCCCTCCCTGTGGACCTCCCCGCCCCACCCCACCTCTCATGACCGACTCGACACCACGGTTGGAGGTTTTCTTGCACGGCTTTCCCTGTTCTCGGGCTGCCACTTTCACTTGCGTTTGGGACATGACCTGCTCCCTATGACTGGGTTGTCTCCGACGGCTGGTTCAGCTCCCACGGTCCACACTTTGAGACGGCACAGTCCGCCCCTGTGTGGGGTGCACGGCGTGGGCTGTGCAGAATGATAAATCTGGCACACGGCGATTATGCTGGCGCATTTGAGCTTTTGCGTCGTGGCATCCCCATTTGTCACAAAGTTTCTCGGGAGTTACGCCCCGGAGTGAATTGATGACATTCCCTGATCAGCTGCTGTGCGTGTGCTGCATTGTTTGAAGTTGAGGAATGTCAACGGTGCGCGATGCTCCTGCTGCGCCAGGCTCGGCGGACGCGGTCCGGGGCGACCTCAGTCGGCTGACCACCATTCTCGACGCCACGCGGAACAGGCTGCAACTGAAGCATTTCACCGAGCCGACAGATGTCGCCCGATACGCGGGTAAGTTTCCGCGCCGTCGCCGGTGGTCGCGGGCGTGTGAGTATGTGAATATTTGAACATTCGGACAAACATATTTATAGCGAGCATATTTATAACGTGATGATGGCACGCCGGTGATATACAGTGGTAAGCTTTTCCGCCGAACGGTTAGGGTTTGCGAAGGTGGAGGATAAGTTTTGTTACGAGAGTGCCAAATGCGAGCTCTGTTGTACTTTCAAATTGGTGAATTCCGTCAGCTGCGTCGCAGACGCGACACCAAGATAACTTGTCACGACTGCATGCATATCTTCGCCTTGCCTCATGGTGCAAACTGCGGGATTTGGCGAAGGTCAAATCTCCTCGGGATTGATCACAGCCTGTCTGCATCATCCATTTTAACATAATCTAAGCCATGCATGTAGCTGACATCCACTGGCTGATGCGGTGTTCGGCCATCCCTGACCAATCCCCAAACTGAGTGCAATCCCAGCTACACCGCCCAGTGCTAAATCCCTGTGACGTGCTAGTTTGTTCTGCAGGGCATTCTCAGAGCAGTGGTTTTATCTGTTATGGACAGCGTGACATCCAGAGTACCCGCGGCCTTTCCCCTGTCCGTCTGAACTGCCGTGCCCGCAGCAGGAGGACCCGCTTGAAGGGCCGTGCCAGGACAGCTTCAACAGCTGAGTACCGTGACTCTTCCCTGTCCCGTCTGACCTGCGGCCCGCCGCAGAGGACCTGCTGAGGGCAGTGCCAGGGACAGCGTCAACATCTGAGTACGGAACCTCTTTCCCTGTCCCGTCTGACCTGCCGTGCTCCGCCGCAGAGGACTGCTGCAGGGCAGTGCCAGACAGCGTCAACCATCATGGGAGTACCGTGGCCTCTCCTTGTCCCGTTGAACCTGCCGTGTCCGTTGCAGCGGACCATGGTCTGCAGGTCAGTGCCAGGACAGCGGTCAATCACCTGAGTAACGTGGCCTCTCACTTGTCCCTGTCTGACCTGGGCCGTGTCCGTTGCCAGAGGACCTGCTGCAGGGCAGTGCCAGGTACCAGCTTAACACCCCTGAGTACCGTGACCTCTCCCTTGTCCCGTTCCTGACCCGCTGTGCCAGCCGCAGAGGACCTGCTTGCAAGGGCAGTGCCAGGACAGCAATCAACCCCTGAGTACCGTGACCTCTCCCCTGTCCCGTTGACCTGCCATGCCCGCCGTCAGAGGACCTGCTGCAGGCGGCCGAGCGGTGCCGGACGCCGTCAGTCGACTGAGTACGTCACCGCGCCTCCGACTCCCAGCCTACTGAAGCACACGGGCCGAGTCGGTCAGCAGTCCTTCAAGTCAGGCGCTACGGGGCGGCATGGACGACACACAGAGGGTACAGTCCCTGGCCCCGCCCGCCTGCCGTGTGTTCAGGGGTGTATCCGTGTGTGTTCGAGTGGTGTCATGTCTCTGATGCCACGAGCACTGCCACGCTGCGGTGCACACTGCGCGCTCGGCGTGCTACCACCCCAGACGGTGCGCTTCTGCTCGAGACCGCGCGTCTCCGTCGGGAGGTGTCGGCCGCTTGGGAGTCGTTCGCTGTCTAACGTCAGGCCGGTGGCGGCTGGACGGGCGCGACCAGTGTTAGACCGATGGCGGCTGGACGAGCGTGGCCAGCGTCAGACCGGTGGCGGCTGGACGAGCGCAGCCAGCGTCAGACCGATGGCGGCTGGACGGGCGCAGCCAGCGTGCTCGCTCGCTCACTCCTTGCGCTCGCTGTGAGGCCGCTCTGTGTCTGACTGCAGGTCGGCGGAGCTGCTGCGGGAGCTGAACTCGCTGACGCTGCAGGAGGCGTCGCTGGCGGTGGGCAGCTCAGGGCATGACGGCGACCGGACGCGGAGGCCGGCCTCGGCTCGGGTTGAGGGTGCTCCGAGATGTGTAATGGGGGGGGGGGGGGGGGGGGCTGGCTGGCGATGTGCCCCGCAGCTGGTCAGCGTGGCGCTGTTGAACGCTTGGATCGCTGGTGTAACACTGGCGCGCTTGTTGCTATTTTTGCTGAATAAAAGGTCACCCGTGACAGTTCTCCTCGGGGGCTTCGTTAATGCGCGTCATTTGTCGCTGTCTGAGACCGGCAGACAGTCACGAAGAACGGTGCTGCGGTCTCCGTCCCACGACTACAGCATCCATACGCCGTAGAGTTCTCGTGTCCAGAAAATGCCAGCCAACTCTCTTATCCTCTGTCTTGCTTCATCTTGCATCCTCGCGATGCCCCACTTGCCCGGGGGAGGCTGCATGCGTCAGCCACGAGTGGGCCGAGAGCCCCGTGGAAAGGGGGATCCGGACCGGGTACCCAGCGCACTTGCGCGGGTTAAAGCTCGCCCCCACCAGGCGCATGCAAGTCTGCCCCACCGTTAACCAGCTTCCTTCATCCATAGCCTTGAAAGGATCATTTCTGGTCGAAAGGGCTCTAATCCAAGCAACCAAACCAACCAACAACTGGTCTTGCTGTTCCGTTAGTGTATGAATTTGGTGGGAGCTCGGCCTATCCCAATCAAATCCTTGCATTGCGTGTCAACGGCAGGTTTTCAGCGGTACACTGGCTGTCAACAGAAGTCGGTGGCTACTGCGTCGTCTGCTTGTCCGTGCGGGACGTCGTACCGCGGGTACCGTGGGTTTTGACATGTGGCAGCGGCTGCCTTATCACGCCTGCTCCGTGAAGCGGAAGTTGCTGGCGCCATGTAACCAGGGTCCTGAAACTCAGTATCAAATGCGCGCATTAATTCATGTTGTATTCATTCGGATTACCCCGCGAGGTCCACCGATGCGTCGCTGTGACGAATCTCCTGCATTTATGCTTCCGCTTGATCCAAATGCTTTGTTAGCTTTCCCACTTGACTTGCCGATCAACAGCTGTAATCGCGCGAGACCACGGGAACGCGACCCACGTCGGCTTCAAATGATCTGGGTAACCTAGGTCGGGCTTGTATTTGAGTAGTGCGGTAGTCATCGCCAGAAAATATAGGCTCTGCGTGATATTTGGTTTTTCATTTTTTAAGCATTTAGTCAAACATAGTGGGGGCGGGACCGTCACAAAAGGAATGCAAAACCGCTACTCATTCACGGCTCCGTCCGGCGCCCGCCCCGTCCATCGTCACCATACACCTGTGATGCCCCGCGTTCCCGCCACGCTGCGTTGGAGCACCGTGATCGGTTCCCAGCCGGTCGCGTGGGACTGATCTGCCGTTGAGTGGCTAACGTTCATATCTAACTTCAAACAGACCATATGGCTGGGACGCCCAACGGGCCCGATTACCCAGGTCTGCACAGGGAGGGAGGGAGACAAGCGCCCACATGTACCCCCTGATATCATGGCCGAGCCACCTGCTCTCAGATTCGCACATGGCGAATATCATGGTATCATGGTGTACCAATGTATATAAGCATATGTATATATATATATATATATATATATATATATATATATGTATAATATGTCAGTACCCAAATGCAGGGCCCAAGCAAAATTGAACCCCCTGGCCCCGGTGACGTTCAGGGAATGGTACTTATGATGGGCGTAATTTCACGAGTTGATTTGGAAGGGAGTGAGCGCCGGAAAATGACGTGAGCTACCCCCAAAACACGGATTTCTTCTCGGAACTGAAATACCTTCCCGAGTTGGGGGGGAGGGCGGGGTCTGGAGCCCAGCTTTGAAAGACTTCCCCGGAACGGAAGGGGAACTACACGACTGGTACCGCTTACGCCCCGCCGTGGCTGCGTGCGCGCGATAGGGACCATACCATCAGGCTAACCTGTACTCTCGGGCTGGCGGTCAGACCGGCGGCACTCCCTGTTCCAATTCTGCCCTGGCTCAGGACGCACGTCTGCGCCGCAATGACCGATAAGAATAGGTTCGTAACGCGTGCCGTGCTTTCTTCATACGCTTGTCTGAGTGTTTGCGATACCCGATAGTCGTCATGAAGACGGTGAGGGGAGGCAGGCCGGCCCGCGTCACGCGCCACGCGCCTGGTAACGGCGGCGGAGGCGCGGTGATCGTTGACGCTCTTTAACAAGTTGAATCCCGAGCAGTCTTCGGCTTAAAAGCTGCCCGGGGGAATGTGCCAGCAAGGCAACTTAATGCTCGCACTCGGCACTGCCAAAGCACCTCCAGTGCCAAGGGAACTCAGTACTCAATGTTGTTAATACCGCGTGGCATAGTGTGTGCGGGTGCGGCTGAGCGACATCCGAGATTAGTACAATTGGGTCCGGTAGTGAAGTGTTCGATCCTAAATGGTTATTAGACTGTCGATGGTCCTGCAACTGCTGCAGTTATAAGCCTAAGTGTTCTCATGCTAATTGTGAAGAGCCGGCGGTCACATATTCAGTGTAGGTGACTCGAGCCCGAGTTTCTCGGATCACAGATCCGCCTCTCTGCCGGTTCATTGTCGACGACTCGGACATTCCCAACTGAATAGCATGGGCCCAGTGATGTGAAATAATGATAGTGATACGAATATATAGATGCGTACATATTATGCATGCATGGATATACATGATATGGATGTAAATATGATAGTTATATGGGCCCAATGATACGGCAATTCAAACGACATTAACTAATTTAACGGTATGTTTCACGCGCTGCCATTTTGCCGTTATATTTTAAGGTGACACCATCCGTGCGCAGAGGAAACTGATCGGTCTTCGAATCAAGGCGAGACCGGTGCTCTCGCTGCTGACTGGCAGAGGGAGGCAGCGCGCTCGTTGCCGACGGTAGAGAAGCATTCGTCACACTCGCGTGTCATACATCCGCGGCGGTGTGTCAAAAGCGTATCAGCGATGGGCGCGCGTTGCAGACCGAAAGGTGTTGTAAAAGCCCCGAAGCAGGCCAAAATCAGCGAAAAGTGCATTTCACTTAAAAACGAGTGACGGAAATGCCAAAATAGACCAGAATTGAAAACGCAGAGTCGTCCGTAGAAATTGTCGGTGTCCACTGCAAAGCATCGATTTTGGGTGCTGAACCGTACACGATCAAGTGGTGCTGCTGCGTCTGGTGCGACCAGCGTCCTTGGCCGCTCTCGTCAGGGGAGGGGCAACAGGCGCGGCACGATCGCTGAGTACCTGCGTCGGCCGCTACTGCACGGTCAGTTTGTACATGAGCGCGTCCCGGGCCGGCACCTGTGCGGCGATCTCCTGCGCTGGCGTTACCACGCCGAGGTCTCCGTGACTGAAGAGCTCGCGCAGCGCGTAACCGGCGGCGGCGCCGCAGCCCACCTGGTTGGGGCTGAAGCGCACGGTGGCCGGGCTGTCGCCGAGGTTGACAACAGCCACGGCGCAGGAGCGGCCGGACGCCGTCATCGGCAGCACGGGCCGCCACCAGAGCTGCGCGTCGGCGGCGCCGGCCGCCGCCAGCCGACCCAAGACGCCCAGCGTGTCCTGATCGACCGCGATCACCTCGCTGTTGAGCAGGATGGCCGCCGAAGCGGCGTCCAGCCGCCGCAGGTCGTTGGACATGATAAGCGGCGCCGCCCACACCGACCACAGCGCCATCTGCGCGCGGCTCTCGCCCTCGTTCAGGCCGCTGTTGCCGATCAGGAGCATGTCCGGGTCGAACCATGCGCCGGGGCCCGCGAACGCGAACTGCTCGGCCTGCAGCAGCGCGTACAGCCGCGCCACGCTCACCACCGACTGCCAGTGGTCCTGGATATCGTGCGCGTTGCGCCACAGGTTGCAGGTGGCGGCGATGGCCGAGTAGTTGTGCGGCCCGTGCTCGTACAGCGGCCATTCGCACGAGTAGACGATGGGCCGGCCGAGCGCGGCCAGCTGCGCACCGAACGCCTCGTGGTCGGCCGGCAGGGCGGAGCTCCGCTCGTTGCAGCCGTCGATCTTGAGGTAGTCGGCGCCCCAGTCTGCCGGGGGGCGGGGGTGGGGTGAGCAGCTGGTACCGTTGGAGGGCTGCTGCAGGCCTATGTGCCCGCTCCGGCCCATGACATCACTGGTGGAGGCGTTGGTGCAGGTCAAGGGCTGACATTGGCGGAGACCCTGACGCTGGTGGAGATGTTGGCACGGGCATAAACGCTGACAGACGGTGTATCTATAAAGACGAAGGTGCAAACCGACGGAGGGCTGAAACGGGCGAGGATGGGGGATACAGGCGGAAGGCTAATACGGGCGGGGGCAGGGTAGGGGTCACAGGCGGAAGGCAGAGGTGGCCTGGGATGGGGGATACAGGCGGAAGGCTGATACGGGCGGGGGTAGGGTAGGGTTTACAGGCGGAAGGCAGAGGTGGCCTGGGATGGGGGATGCAGGCGGAAGGCTGATCCGGGCGGGGGTAGGGTAGGGGATACAGGCGGAAGGCAGAGGTGGCCTGGGATGGGGGGATACGGGCGGGGAGCTGATACGGGCGGGGGTAGGGTAGGGGATACAGGCGGAAGGCAGAGGTGGCCTGGGATGGGGGACACAGGCGGAAGGCTGATACGGGCGGGGGCAGGGTAGGGGATGCAGGCGGAAGGCAGAGGTGGCCTGGGATGGGGGATGCAGGCGGAAGGCTGATCCGGGCGGGGGTAGGGAAGGGGATACAGGCGGAAGGCAGAGGTGGCCTGGGATGGGGGATACGGGCGGGGAGCTGATACGGGCGGGTGTAGGGTAGGGGATACAGGCGGAAGGCAGAGGTGGCCTGGGATGGGGGATGCAGGCGGAAGGCTGATCCGGGCGGGGGCAGGGTAGGGGTCACAGGCGGAACGCAGAGGTGGCCTGGGATGGGGGAATACAGGTGGGGGCTGCTCCGGGCCGGGGTAGGGTAGGGGTCACAGGCGGAAGGCAGGGGTGGCCTGGGATGGGGGATACGGGCGGGGAGCTGATACGGGCCGGGGTAGGGTAGGGGATACAGGCGGAAGGCAGGGGTGGCCTGGGATGGGGGATACGGGCGGGGAGCTGATACGGGTGAGTTAGGGATACACGTGGGAAGCTGACAGGTGTCCGCCCTGCCATACACGCAGAATGACTACAGGCGAGGGCGCTGCCACAGGTGGAGGCGTTGAAACAGGAGGAGGCGGTCGCACAGGCCGTCAGCAGACTCTCTGTACAGATGACCTGGTGTGTTTTCCGGCTGATGCTGGGAATTTCAGGCGCGACTAAATGAGCATAGTTTCATGCAAAATGCGCCGCAATTACTCGAGGTATTTGCGTAGCCCATTTAAATGAACCTGCCCGTGTGCTGGCTTCGCGTGAGGGGAGGGCAGTCAACTGCGTATGCCAAGCCTGCTGTGCACTGTTCCCATCAATCTGACTCGGGACCACGAATAGCTCGGTTGGCTTCGGCGTTTCCATCTGGGATAAACCCACGATGCAAAATTGATGTAATTAAAAATATACTACACTATTCTGTAGATGATAACAGTGATGATCAGCTGCAGACTTCTCACCGTGTAAGGATTCTTGTGCC